AGAGTGTTATCGACAGTATAGCCCAGAAAGACGGTTTCTTGACAACTTGTTCCACAATCTTTATTTTTCTTTGTACTGTAATTTACAACTTTTGTTTTTTCTTTATTTAAAATAATACCATTGGCACAAAACCAAGACTCCAAACTATTTATGATTTCGTTAATCTTGTGCTGTACTGTTATCAGACTTCTATCGCTCACTCCGACATGAGTATCGTCTGCAAATAAATTAATGAAGCTCCAATCTGGTAAGGCGTGCGGTAAATCATTTACATAAACCAAAAATAGTACCGGGCCAAGAATCGAACCCTGTGGGACGCCTATACTGCTGCAGCCGGGTGAGCAGCTTGTTCCTGCTATGGTTACAATTTGTGATCTATTTGAAAGATATGACTTGATTATATTTAGTTCAGTTCCAGAGAAACCGTAGAATTCCAATTTATTGAGCAGTATGTCGTATCTCAAACAATCGAAAGCCTTCGATAAATCACAGAATACGCTTGCGCTCTTCTGAGACCTGTCCAAGGCCTCCAGTACATAATAAATTACGTTTCTAATAGCCATTTCTGTAGATTTTTCTTTTCTGAAACCAAATTGTGCTAGCGTGAATAAATTATTTGTTTCGAAATAAGATACAATTTGATCTTTTAAAGTCGCTTCTAAAATTTTCGATAAGACGGGTAGAACACAAATAGGCCTATAATTGTTAATCATCAATCTATCACCATTTTTATAAAGAGGAACCACACGCCCTATTTTGAGCATATCTGGAAAAACACCTTCGGTAATACAAGAATTTAGAACTGTACAAATTAAGCTCAATAAATCGTCATTCCCCAAAACTATCTTTTTAATTATATGTGTAGACATGTCATATACATCTTTTGTGTACTTGTCATTTAATTTAATTATAATTCGTCTAATGTCATTTGTGTCCATTGTTGAAAATGAAATTTTTGTGTTTGTTTTAGTAACATTACGCAAATAATTATCACATTTCGTTAAATCAATATTTAAATGACTACTCAGTCTGTGCGCTATGTTTAAGAAAAAGCTATTAAATAATTCAGCAATCTTTTTTGGGTCATTTATAATAGTACCTTCTTCATTCTTTATTTCGTCTATCACTTGTAATGTAGTTCTCTTTTTATTTACTTGTTCATTTATTATTTTCCAACTTTCTCGTATTTTATTTTTGGCTTTATGTATACGGTGTGAGTAATTAACTTTTATAGCGGTTGTTAACACTTTTCTAAGAATCTTTCTATACTTTTTTATTTTTCTTTCTCTATTCTCACATGGCGCAAAATCCTGAAGAATTTCCATTTTCGATAACGTATCTTTAGAAGTATGTATTCCCTTAGTATTTAATTTTTGTTTCTTTTTGCGTACAGTTAATCTTTTAATAGGGAACGCAATATTATAGCAAAATAATATTGCTTCAGACAATATCTTAATTTTTTTATTACAATCAATATTTAAGTAAATATTGTATTTTACAGATTCCAGTTCCTTTTTAAATAAGTAGTGAAAATAATTACAGTTTTGTTCCGAAAATAATCTTCCATATTTGATATTGTCTTTTTTTTTCAATTTTTGTTTAACTATATCATATATTAACAAAATAGAATTGTGATCCGATAATTTTCTGAGAACTTTACCTTCACAGTTGACATCAGAATTTACTATAAAGTTATCTAAGCATGTTGCACTTTTCCCTTTAGTTCTAGTGGGCTCACGAATGACATAATTACAGTTAAAGCTTTTTAAAGTCGTATTTAATCTTTGGATTTCTTTTTTCAGTATTAATACATTTAAATTAAAATCACCTGCTATTATAATGTTTTTCCTTTCTCTATTCACTATGTGTAATATTTTGGATAGTATGTCAAAAAATATATCAAAGTCACGACCCGGTCTGTACAAACAAACTATAACAATTTTTGATGGTTTTAACTCTATTGCAGATATTTCACAGTTCATTTCAAAAGTCAATCTATTTAGATCATTACGTACTTTGTAGTCTGTATTCTTTTTGACAAATATAGCGGTTCCTCCATGGTTGAACAATTTACGGTTATAAAAACTAGCTAATTCATAATTTTCAATTATCATGACATCCAGATGTGCATCTTTCGTCCACGTCTCTGTGACACAAACTACATCAGAATCCGTGTCATTACACAGAAGTTCTAATTCTAAATATTTATTTCCTATACTACACAAATTAGCATGCAGCACCTTTATTTTATCCCGGGGTTCTCGGGACTTGCTTGAAAATTTAAAGCACTATTGCTTGAATTTTCTTCACATTTTATGAAAGTTAGAGATGATGTGCATTTAAAGTTTATTATACTGCTATGTATCGTATGATGACATATTTTTTTACTCCTTTTGAATCCATTATTTAGTTCTACATACATCACCTTTTCGGAGGTTGTTGCTAGTTGTGAGAATTTATGATTTAATACAGAATTACAATAGTTGTCTAATATGGTGCTACATAATATTATTTTAAATTTACGTTCTTTGTTGCTTACTATTTTTCCTATTTGTTTAACATAAGACAGTGTATTGTATGTATTTACTTTGCTTATAAATATAATAACCGTGTCTCGCGAATCCAGAGATTTTACTATATTATCAAAACCTTCTAAAATTTTGTCACACGTCGCTCCCGGTTTACAAATGTTTGTAACATTTGCGTTACTATTTTTTATATTTTGTTGAAGACATGAACCCAGTCCAACTCCATAATCATCAGAAAAAATTATTATATTTTGCTCCTTATGTGGTCTTTTAAGCGGTTCCTTTTGTTTCTTAATTTCTTCGCCATTATTTCCTTTCTCTGGCATTGTATTACCTATTATATCACTCTGGTCGCATGTTATTAATTTCTTGAAGTCATTGGTTGAAATTTCGTACTGTAGTTTTTTATTCTGCTTCTGTAGCTTGGTAACTTGTTTTTTAAGGTTTTTTATGCTACCCTGTCCCTTCCTAATTTGCTTCAACGTTCTTCTGTGAATGTTCTTAGATTTAAGTTGAAGTTTATTAGTTAAAATTGTCCTTTTCGATTGTTCTGTTCTACCCATAGTTGAAGCAGTCAATTCTATTGTACCACTCGAGGTTTGAACCTGCTTTTGCTCCAGATTTTGTTCCAGCTTTTGCTCTTTCTCCAGAAGTGAAACTTGAGTCCTAGCTTCGCTCAATTCCATATCCAGGTGCACTAATGTTGCTTCAAAAACAACAGAGCGCTCCGTGAACTCGGCTGCTTGGCGCTGAAGTTGGTCGCGTTGTTCCACTACGTCCAAGTACCGGGTCGCGTTGTTCCACTACGTCCAAGTACCGGATGTGTAACTCCGCCAACTCATTTTTTAGGGCAGTATGTCTTTCCACCACTGTCTTAATCTTTCGCTCGCTGTCCTCGCGTTCCTCAAGGAGCTGACCGCATAGTGTTTTGGCATTTTTAAGTTCTTCTAGCGCAAGACTCAGTTTGTTTTCCAGGTCAGCTTTAATTTTGGTATTACGTAACATCATGGTTACAAGGACAGATTAATAAGAAGAAAAAAGGAAAAAAAAAAAAAAAGTAATTTATTTATCACTGAGATTCGAACTCACAACTTCGAATCAACAGTCCATACTGGTGACCGCAGAGCCAAATGGTTTGTAATTAGTGTTCGCAAAATTGTTCATCACTTCGTAGATTTATTTTTTTTTATGTTGACGCTAAATAGGCGGGTATTTACTTGTCAAAGTTCACTTAAAACCGCTATCAATGTTCACTTACATACTTTATCTTATTTAAAAACAACTTTAAATATAGTATTTACTTTCGTTGTACACACTAATGTTTATAACTATGTTTGTTTATCATTTTAAAATGTATATTGTTGTTATAGATTAGTTCTTAACAGGTTTAAATGTCCTCTTAGTAATAAGTTATTGTTCTCGGTCAATTTTAGAAAAAATCTCGTAAATACGATTTGGATATAGTCACAAACACCCACACAGAATATTTATTAAGTATGTTTTATGATTTTTGCACTTTTAAACTTCTATTACTTTATTACAATTTTTAGAATTTAAAACAATAAAGAGCCGATGTTTACGGTATCGCGTACTAGTGGCGCCTATAAAATTCGAATTACTATTTTTTTTTTTCGAAGTTCGTTGTTTTATTAGAGGGTGTGGTATGGTCCTTTGTACTAGGTATTTGTTCTTGATTTAGTACAAAATTAAAAAAAAATGTAGTGCAATGGTCTAGAGTGGGACTCAAACCATTTTATCAATATCCTGCTACACTGGGTCAATTGTCTTTCGTTCATTCGTTGCGTTCCCATTAGTTGCATTGTCTAAATCGGATGGAAATATTGCGAATTTATTTAATTTGTTACTACCGCAACTCGCCTGAATGGAACAAGTGAGAATAGAGAATAAAAGCGCAGTAGTTCCAACTTGAAACTAGGCAATGGAGCAAAGTAAACAAATTTACTTGCTTCTTTACTCTCAGCAGTTACATAATATCGCCCGTGTTTTGTAGAAAAGGCGAAAGCGCCATTTCGAAAAATTTTGCAGGGGTGCATGTTTTAGGTTTAACGGCTGTTCTAAAATATTGACGTCTGGTTTTAAAATTCAATTTTGGTTTTCAATAAGTTTATGTTTTAAAATTGAATTTAAAACAGGACGTAAATATTGTAAATCAGTCGTCAAAAACTAAAACATGCTCCCCAGAAAAGAATTCGAAATGGTGCTTTCGCCTTTTCTTCAAAACACCGACGATACTTACAAACATTATTAGGCGCGATCTTGGCAATCTTCTCTTGCGTCTCTTACATTCGTCAATCTTTTCATTCTTCTTACAACGCACTCCAGCCTTTTTAAGACTTTGGCTTTGTATATCTTTAGCCTTTTTATCATCCGCTTCAGTTTCTCAACCTAATATTTACATTCCATACGAGCTGGAGTTTAATTATTGACTATGAATCATCTTTTGTTTTCTAGGTGGAGTCAGGGTACGGGACAAGCTCGGACAGCAGTTCTAATGGAGGTGGTCTTCGTAGACATGGTTCAGTTACTTCACTCCAGTCTACTGGGTCACATGGTTAGTATATTGTATTATACTGTAAAAAACTATAACATTATTATTGATAAAAAGATCGAATATAAAGAAAAAATTTGTCTGCTGCCATGCCGGGGTAATTTATCTTTGTGTTCGATCTTTGTATAATTAATAGTAACAAACTAGAGGAGTATTTTCACAATAAGTATATGGAAATCATGGTACTAAAACATCGTGATATTCAACAAATAAATAAAACTATCGTATATTACTATAATTATCATGTTGGGTAGGCCGGTTGACTAATTTGAGATCTACAACCGAACAGAGTAATAACTGAACTACTGGCGCGTGAATGCGGTTCTCTTTCGAGTAACCGGTGGCCGAACAACCGCATTTACGCGCTTTTCACCTTTAGTACTTTGACATGTTTTACTCGTCATACAATTATTCGGAAATTATAGAGGCCACTGCCTATTTCTATAGCAAACCACTTCTGCTGTGTTCCGGATTTTAGATCTTATATTCCACGAACAGCATCTCATTTGGGATATTAAGAACACATCCACTTTTTGGGAGTCTTGTCTACTGGTTAAAAAAAAACCATGTGGTGGAGTACGTCAACAATCAACCCTATGCGCCTACCAAAATAGTATTTTTCGGAATGTACAGGTTATAGTCTGTCTTTTTTGAAGACGGGGTAAACTAACAGTTCATTGCGCAAGAGTGTTGCCCGCTTACAAGCAGCTATTGGTTGCAGTCGATAAATATTCTATCGACTATCGACTGAACGTTGGTCACGTTTATGCAATAAATAAAGAGCCGAACTTGTTTCATTTGAATCATCGTCAGCCCATTATTCGTCCAACGGGCTGGTGCTGGGCACAGGTGCATTTGATTATCTATATTGAATTAATATGAATAATTTTTA